GGGCTATGTCCCTAAAGTGCCCTCAAATGTGGCACGGTCTACAATCCTCCAGGCTTTTCATACTCCACCCCATGTGTTGGTTGAGCAAGCTAACCTTCATTTACTGTGCCCGGTCCGAGCCCTGGAGGTCTATATACAGAGATCCTCAGGCTGGAGAAGGTCGGACCAGCTCTTTGTGTGTTTTGGGGCGCCTAAAAAGGGTTCTCCTGCGTCCAAACTGACTATAAGTAGATGGATTGTAGAGGCTATTTCGGCAGCTTACGTGGTGCGCAACCTGCCTTCACCTCTTCTGCTTAACCCTCTGGGGACCAGAGTGTTTTTGGGGCCCTTGGGATGTTTTGACATGCACTGACATTTGTGCTTTTTTCAGTTATTTATAAACATGTTAATGGCAAAGGTGTAAATTCACTCTATATAGCACAAACTTGGCTACCATGATGAGTGAGCAACATGTATGTACATGTTTGTATTTTTAATAGAATAATGTTTATGCGTGGTTATTGAAAAAAATAAAAATGAAAGTTGCTGAAATAAGACCACAAAACACATATTGATTATTTCTTCACAAGACTTTTGAAAATTGTATCACATAGCCTAGAATATTTGCTCCAAAACTATGTGAGAATCATCCTGACTACTCATTCAGATAAGTCAATAAAGTCTTTTACATTTTTAATGACGTGTTTTGTTTGAGAAAGCTTTATGCGAGGATGCGTGGTCTCTCATTAATATGTGTGGAATTTCACACCTGAGAAAGACAAAGACCCTCCCATAATGGCCCTATTAGGTGCTATCAGGCCATATCATTACAGGAGCCTTGCACAAAGAATGAGGAGATTTAAAAAAGAATGGCTTTTAGATTGTTTGGATTTATATAAGGAAAATACAGGGTGCATAAGTCTGGACACTTCTATCACACACCCTTCACCGTATAGACATGGTTTTATTTCAGTTCAAAGTTCAAAGTTAGAGTTGGAAACATCTTGAAAAGAAAATTGTCTTTCTCCATAAATGTCTTAGTTTGATCATACATATTTCAAAGTTGAGGATTCATTATTTTGATAGCTTGAACAAACACTAAAACATCTTAGTTGATTAGTTTATTGACAAAACATACTATATATTTAACATATGAGCAGAAACTCCTAAAAAAAGCTTATTTGATGTCTATTTTAGAGTAAAAACTTTATCCAAAACGAGTCAACGAAATGTTATTTAGTCTGTAACAGTGCGTATCTGTGCATTCATTCATTCATTCATTCACACACACACACACACACACACACACACACACACACACACACACACACACACACACACACACACACACACACACACACACAAACATGATTCACATTTAACAGTACGCTATTTTTCCGTTTACAGACACTACGTTATTCTATATCGCGATTAGAACAAAGCACTTGCAAAAAACACTTACTTCTCAGCTGAATCTGTTCATCCTCGCAGTGAAAATAAACCCAGTGGTAAATGTCCCAGGATTGTTCCTCATATAGCCGCGCAAGACGACAGTAGATTAATCTGACTAAAAATAATGTGTGTTTTCAGAGTTTATGGGCGTTCACGCGTCTCAATGTGTTGCTTCACATATTTGCGTTTGAATAGCGCGTGCTCTCCGTGGGCGTGTCACATTACCAGGGATAATCAGCTGAGAGAACGATAATGAGACGGGCTGACACGTCTCTCTTTTTATATAGATAACATAAACGGAGAATATTAATTTTAGTTTTGAATCGGATCATTTAAAAGTACAAACTCAAACGATTTAAAAGATATATTGCTTATGGCTGGGTGAATAGTATAAGCTGAGTTGTGTTGAAGATTAGAGACGTGCTCCAGAAAAAAAGTTCACGGTGACTGAGAGGCAGAACGCACACCCTGTTTATTTTCTTTATTTTACAAAAGCACAATATTTTATTTCGATTGTATGTGGGCACATAAAAAAGTAGACATTTAACAGATTATTTTCTCATATTTCTTAACTCTATATGAACAGAAATGATGGTAGTACTTTAAGTCTATTTTTCTGCTATGTGAAAAAAAACGAGCAAAACGCGCCCGCGCGTTTCTGGTCCCCAGAGGGTTAAGGCCCACTCCACGAGAGGAGTGGCTTCCTCTAAAGCCCTTCTTGCGGGTGTTTCCCTTCAGGAGGTCTGTGATGCCGCAGGCTGGGCCTCCCCTCACACTTTTATAAGACATTACAGTCTGGATCTATCCTCTACACCGGGTTCACAGGTTCTCTCGTCTTGAGTGTGCCAGATTGCTTCACACCAGGGCGTACTCTCTTAGTGTGGCGCAGTGGGCATTTCGTTCCCCGTAGTGTCGATTTTCGACGCAGCGGAGTTCCCTCGGAAGGGAACGTCTCGGGTTACGTCTGTAACCCTCGTTCCGTGAGAAGGGAAAGAACGCTGCGTCCCTCGGCCACACTCTTCGCGCCCCTAGAGACGACTTGCTTCGGACTATTTAAAGCTGCCGCTTCCGGGTTCCGGCGCCCGTTTTATAGTTCCGCTCACCGTCACATACGATGTCACGGCTGACGTCATCACGCAGCACCAATCAGAATTGGACTAGTTCTATTCAGGCTTCAGACGCGTCATGCTAAGGACATTCCCCGTAGTGTCGATTTTCGACGCAGCGTTCGTTCCCTTCTCAGGGAACGAGGGTTACAGACGTAACCCGAGACGTTTTCAAAACTGTGCAACTCACCGAGTGGTTAGTGGTGTTCGTTGAAGTGTTCCAAAACAAGCAGCGTAGCGAAAAACAGTTTCTGTCGTGTTTTATTTGCCATTTTTTAAAATTCCATTGATATCTGTTGAAGGACTCAGTGCTCGTTGATATTACTGTGCTCCCGGATACCGAAAGGGGTCTGTTTACATTTGGTTGTAGTCTTTTCGCTCGGTTCTCTGTCTCTCAGAAGGCTAGCGTGAGCTGAGCAACTGCAGCAGAGTGGTTGTCGCCATCAAGTGGTCGGGAGTGTGCTAACGCTTCAGACTCAAATATCGAGCGGAAGTTTATACGCGGTTGTGAGGTATCTGAAAAAATAGTTCCACTATAGTAAATAACACGGATTGAAAGCATACATTGCGCCAATATATTTGTTTTTAACCTGTTAACCTTCACCCCCCACTTGGGGGCTCACAGCTGAAAATGACATACCTGGATTAAAATAAATACAGCTCCTGAGAACAGTGTACCACAGGCACAATTAAGGTATCTTTGGAAAGAAGACAATTGGGACTTATTGGACAATTGGGACAATTAAACATCCCGGGTATCGTTGGACTCGTTTACTGATTGGCTACATTTTCTATCAGTCATATAATTTCGACGATTTCATTGGCTTTCGTTGTAAAGACAAAATGATAGGATGTGCATATCATGACGTCACAAAAACTGACTGCAGTGTTTGGATATTTTGAACGAGATATTGCCTCTCTTTGTTTGTGTGTGCGTGTGTGCGGTCTAAATGTGTTCATTACACTCTAAGCAACACACCCATATAACCTTTTGGTACCGGGAGTCTGTTTTTTATGCATTATTTATTGCATAACCGACAAATATGAGACGTCACCCTGAAGAAACGCGACGTAAACAAAGGAATAATCATCAATATTACAACGGTATTGTTTCTTTGGACTAAAAATGCTCCATGGGATGTTATTCAGTGGACCCTCAGCTTTCCATTCAATCTGGAACTTTTAGCAGTGGATGCGTGTGTGGCTCGTTATTACGACAATACTGGTAAGTACTCCGTTTTTGATTACGTGTGTTTTGATGTGTACTGCTTGCCTAAATGCAATAAATACATTTGTTATAAGCTTTCCATCGAAAAACAGTGCTCTATCATCGATGCTTGAGGCTTAGACCTTTAAAATGATATATAGTTTGCCAAGATTAATGATCTTCTTTCACGTTAAATCCATTCATAAACATTAAACTAGTGGGGGGAAAAAATGCTTCAGAGCGCCGACGCACTGGCGAAGGTTAACAGGTTAATCATCAACGAACACCACTAACCACTCGGTGAGTTGCACAGTTTTGAAAACGAACGTTAAGGGTTGTTTTAAGGATATGTTTGAGCATGCCCATAGACAGCCACTCTGAAGCGCTCAGAGGCGATTTTAAAATAGTCAAAAAGTCGAGACAGGACCCATCGTCAACATTTCTAAGTTCACCACTCTAAGACTCAATAGACTCAAAGTGCTAAATACCGGAATTATCCTTCAACACTGTTGTCAGCTTGAAGATCCTAAAATGTGTGCTGGGCCTTTATAAATACAGTGATTCAAAGAAGCCATTCATAAATCGACGTCAGCTTACAAGTAGATTATGAACTTTCGTTTCAAATTTTATTTTCGACCGCTTCATCTCTCACACATCGCAAACACAAAAGAGTAAATGCCTTCTATATGGAGATGAGTTTAATCTCATTCGTAATCTACTGACAGATTCCCAATGCACAAGTAGGAGATTATGATAATATTATCAAAAGCACTAACCCTATTCGTCACTGATCTAGGATAAATGTCTTTCTTAAGCCAGAAAACTAGCCTGAAATATTGTGTTTGCCAAAAAAAGTCGTGTCAGAAGACAGAAACGACATATAAGGCTTCGCTAATGTTCATCTACAATGTACAAACACAAACAGCCTTGCATTATGACATCACTATAAGCATGAAACAAGCCCTTCTCCACGACTTCACCGTGTAAAGCCGCGTGTCAAGTAAACGTAATCAAGTCTACGACATGTTAAAGCTTTCAGAAATAGATCTCCAGCCACTGACATCTACGAAAAAGCAAGCCAGAAACCCATTGACTGATTTATTTATATGTACGCTTGTCGTTCCCGCCCGCCTCACGAGTGACATCGCTAAAAACGCTCGCTCTCAAACCCGTCGTGTTGATATTTTAAATTCGCGCATGAGAATTTGGCACAAATCAATGGGTTTTCCTGCATGTCAACAAGACAGGAGGAGGTTTGCATATCAGTTGTTCGGGCATGTAAACACGAGTCACCTGATTGGACGGGCTGCTGATTTCAGAGGCAGGAGAGAGATGGACAGAAGAAAAAGGGCAAATAGCTTTTGACTTGTGACGTTATCACAATTCAACATGGCTAGCTCTCCCTAGCACGTCTAATCTAGAAACGCGCTGTGCAATTCGGTTTGAAACACACTTAGACTAAACTTACATCATTCTGCCCCTAAGCTAGCACTACATCATGCATCTGGCTACGAGAACGCTAGCAGCGCTAAACACGCGGATACATCGTATTGGTTAGCGCAGAGCAGGCAAGAGCGCGTGAGTTGAGCTTTATACATGAGCCGCGGCTTCAGTCGCAGTAGATCTTGTACTTCTCGCTGCAGAACACGAGTGGCGCTCCCACATCGGCGCGAGCCCCGGCGGGGACACTTACGTCAGACGGGGTGGATTTAGCGCGCGAGTAGCCGGTTTTAGCGCGTCCGCGGCGGATCTGCTCATGGTTGACCTCCAGGTCCTCCTGTCGCTGTTCTAGCGCTAGCTTCTGCTGGATAGCCATACGCAGGAGAGAGTTCAGCGTCTTCTTCTCGTCCTCCGCCACCGCTAGCCGTCTCTGCATCTCATCCAACTGAGTCACGTACTCGTCACAGCTGAGAGACAAACAGAGAAATAAACATCAAATCACGTGTCTTAAACCTAACATTTCATTTAAAGAGGAACTATGATGCTTTTTTCCATCAGTCTTTACTGTGTAATGTTGCTGTTTGAGCATGAAAAAGCTCCAGTTCTTCTCTATATCAGTGTCAGTGTTTCTGAACTCCTGAAAGAGTTTCTTCCGGGAATGAACACGTCACAATATTCCTCATTATAATAATTCATATGCAGAATAAAGGGGCGGGGCCTGGTTGAGTTAGTTAGTAGTGTGTTAAACTACCCTTATGGTAAGGGGCGGGACTTTCCCAAACACACTTGAAGCACTTGACCAATCACAACACACTGATCCAGCCGACCAATCAGAGCACAGTGATCCAGCTGACCAATCAGAGCACAGTGTGCTTTTCAGGAGGAGGGGCTTCATAGAGACTCTCGTTCAGCTTATGCTGAATTAAGACGACACGTTCAGTTTTTAATTTACTGTTCTCAAACTCAACTAAATTTTTTTTTAGCCACAACACCGGTCTCATCTCACCCACAATCAACACTATCGCAGCAAGACTAGTACATACATGTTTTTACATTGACACGGTTTTAAGAAAAAATTTACAATGCGAGTATGTGTCATTAAAATGACTGGTCATTCACATTTCAAATTGAGAGGAATTCCTTAGCAAATTAATTCAATCTTTATATTGAAACTCGGGCTGTTTTCGACTAAGGATTTTCATAGTCGAATCTGATTCGTTAGATTTTGCCGTAGTCGACTGATAGTCGAACTTTTTTTTTTCTTTTTTTTTGGATAGCAGCTAGATGTTCGGTTGAATAACTGTTCGTCTGTTATAGGACAACTCGCTCTACGTTTATTTAAAATGAACAGCAAGACAACTAGAAGTGAATGTGCTTTCCATGAAATGAATCCTTAACACAAAAAAAAAAAAACGTTGCAATGAACGTGCTTTGTTTTAAATAAATCACACACAGTAAACAAAACCTTAACAAAAAAACTTTGCAATTTAGACGCGCAAACTGCGTGCCGGTGCGGTGAGACATAGCCTACATGCTGATTCGGCTTGAAGTCGTTCATCCTCGGATGCGGCGTCGCGCGTGCTGTTACAAAAAAAGCTGTGCACACAGCCAAGCGAAATGGGGTCTTGCCGGTCTTGCGCACCCAACGCGTCATTTTTTTTGCCGTCCGCATCTTCGCGCTCGTGCGGAGGCGTCGAGTATAAACAAGGCTTAAGCCCAATTTATACTTCTGCGTCGAACTCACGCCGTAGCTACGTCGTAGGCTGTGTGTAGCGCGCATACCCTTCGGCGTACCCTGACGTGCACCTCTCCAAAAATGTAACAACGCGTCAATTCTACGCGTACCACAAGCGCTGTGATTGGTCTGCTAGAACCGCTCCTCGGCTTTTACATGCTCCCTCTGCATGTGTAATTGCGCGTCAACGCGGACAACGACGCAGAAGTATAAATGAAAACCAACGCGTAGTCTATAGCGTAGAGGCTCCGGCGTATGTCCAACGCAGAAGTATAAATCAGCCCTTACTCACTCCGTGTCAGCGCGCGCTCTGATCGGTAAAGGTGCACAGACCTCTCCCGAATCATCTCCAGCACTCAGCCTTCGATCGCACCACTAACTCCGCCTCCGTTTCCCTCGTAAGATGATATTAGTATTGTCACGACCGGCTCAAAGCCGTGACAAATGAGTGGAGGACATAGTGAAGTTGGTCAGGTTGTACGTGTATTTATTAACATAAATAGAAAAATATATATAACAGGAAATCAATTACAACACAGCTGCCATTTCTGTCTGACAAGCGGTGTTAAGATGTCAGACAGAACTAAGATCAAATCATAGCAAAGGAAAACAAAACAAACCCAACACAAAAAGGTACAGGAGCAAAAGCTCTCACAAGAGTCTTGCAGCTCTGAGGATCTCGAAGCTCACTCCACATTCTCAAAGCCTAAGCTTATATACAGGTGTATATCACTTGATGATCCTACACAGGTGTACATCATTCTCTTGATGAGTCTCCCAGTCACACCCACCGGTCGACACAGCGGGAACAACCGGAGACCCGTCACACACCCCCCCTAAAAAGAAGAGAGCACAGAGTCTTAATAAAAACAAACAACTCCCACAACTCAATTTGTCCAAGTAGCAATAGTTGGTTCGGCCTGCAATTCTCCCCAATCCCGTCAACTCTCTCACTTTCAGCAACCTGGCGCCTAGGAAGCAAAATTAAGAAAGAAAAAGAGACACAGTCAGAGAAAACAGACTTTAAAGCACTTAAACACGGGACAAGGCGTCAGCAGTTACATTCTCTACGCCTTTAATATGGCGTATATCCAAAGAGTAACTCTGAAGAAACTAACACCATCTCATCAGCCTTTGGTTGGGGTTTTGTAAGGAGTGCAGAAAAACTAAAGGATTGTGATCCGTATAGACCACCAGAGGTCCTTCTGATGACCCAACATACACCTCAAAATGTTGTAAGGCCCAAATTAAGGCAAGTGCTTCCTTCTCGATCACAGAATAATTAAGCTGATATAAATTAAACTTTCTAGAAAAGAATCCAATCGGATGATCAATGTCATCCTCAGACGTTTGTAACAAGACAGATCCAGCACCCACATTACTGGCATCGACTTGTAATTCAAATGCTCTATCAAAACTCGGAGCTGCCAACACAGGAGCCTCTGTAAGAAGCATTTTTACCCGCTCAAATGCTTGTTGACACAATGGTGTCCAGCAAAAATCTACTCCTCCCCGCAACAAATTTGTCAGGGGCACCGCGGCGGTAGAAAAATTTCGGCAAAAACAACGATAAAATCCCACCATTCCAAGAAATCGCATTAGCTCTTTTTTTGTATTTGGCTTAGGATACTTATCTATTGCCTCTACCTTTGCACGAACCGGACGTACTTGGCCTTGCCCAACAACCTTTCCCAAATAGGTCACGGTGGCTTTTGCGAATTCGCATTTTGACAAGTTAACAGTCAAGTTGGCTGATACAAAACGATCAAACAGTGCTCTAATCTGAATTAAGTGTTCCTCCCAAGTTTGACTAAAAACAACGACATCATCTAAATATACAGCACAGCCACTCAAACCAGATATCACGCGATTCATTAAACGTTGAAACGTTGCTGGAGCGTTACGCAACCCGAAACTCATAACCTTGTAGGAAAATAATCCTGAAGGCATAATGAAAGCAGAAATCTCTCGAGCTCTTGCAGTTAAAGGCACCTGCCAGTAACCTTTTAGAAGGTCAAACTTGCTCACAAATCTAGCATTTCCTACTTGATCTACACAATCCTCGATTCGAGGTAGTGGGAAAGAATCAGGCTTTGTTACGGCATTCACCTTACGGTAATCCGTACAGAATCTGAATGACCCATCAGGTTTGTTCACTAGTAAAGATGGGGAAGCCCAACTAGAAAAAGAAGGTTCAGCGATGTCATTTCTCAACATATACTCGATTTCATCATTCAATTGTTTTTTCTTATTTTCCGACACTCGATAATAACGTTGACGAATTGGAGTTGCACCTCCCACATCAATGTCATGCTCTATTAGATCTGTACAAGAAGGAGTATCAGAAAACAATGTAACATATTCCTTAGTCAAATTCATCAAATCAGTCCGCTGTACATTCGACAGATGACCAAGCCGAACGCTCAAAGAACTCAGTGCTTCTGAGTTTCTAAGACGACCTTGAAGAACACAATCTCCCAGGTAGATTTCACCTTCCTCCCCAGCTACTGGAGTCGGAACCAATTCAACACTGTCATTATTAACAGAAACATCTGCAAACATAACAGGTTTAACATGCGAACCAGGCAGACTAACTTGGTCTTTTGTCATAAGGTCTTCGAAATCTTTACAAGCATAATAAGGCTTTAACAAGTTTATTTGACACATTCTAGTCTTTTTTCTTCGATTTGGCGTATTAATCAAATAATTCAAATCAGAAATCTGACGAGCAACAGTATATGGTCCGACAAACTTAGCCTGAAACGGTGACCCAACAACAGGCAACAACGCCAGTACCTGGTCACCAGGTTGAAACGAACGCAACTCTGTTCGACGATCAAAAAGTAGTTTCATTCGATCTTGTGATCTGCTCAAAGATGACTTTGCCAAGTGGCACGCCTCATAAACTCGTCTACGAAAATCACTAACATATGACAAAACATTTTTCGGTGGATCAGACTTTTCCCAGTCAGCAGATAAAACAGCCAACGGACTTCGCACGTCGTGTCCAAAAACAAGGTCGTTTGGACTGAACCCAGTACTTTCTTGCGCAGCTTCCCGAGCCGCCATCATCAACCAAGGCAGACCAGTCTCCCAGTCCTTACCCATTTGAACACAGTACGACCTCAAAAGAGATTTTAACGTTTGATGAAATCTCTCCAGTGCTCCCTGACTTTGGGCATGATAAGCACTGGAGAGGTTATGTTGAATATGAAGTTGTTTCAACACTTGACCGAACAAATTAGAAGTGAAATTACTTCCCTGATCAGATTGGATAATTCGTGGTATTCCAAATATTGAAATGAACCGAGTCAGCGCCTTTATGACTAGTTTTGCCGTCACAGAACGTAAAGGATATGCAGCAGGATATCTAGTTACTTGGCACATGATTGTAAGCAAATACTCACTACCTGCTTTTGATTTGGGCAACGGCCCGACACAATCTACAATGAGATGTTCAAACGGCTGACTAATGGCTGGAATCGGAAAAAGAGGAGCAGGTTTCAAAGATTGATTTGGCTTCCCAGTAAGCTGACATGTGTGACAAGATTTAATATATTTAGACACATCACGCTTCAATTTCGGCCAAAAGAACCATCTCAAAAGTAATTTGTACGTCTTTTTCACTCCCATATGCCCAGACGTATCATGAGCAGTCTGTAACACTAGCTGCCGAAGAGACTGAGGAATTACAACTTGCACCATGGGATCACCCAATGCAAACTCTCCCTG